TTTCCCTTCTTTAATATATCTTTTTAAAGTATTTAAAGTTTACATTGACACTATTCAGGGTAGCACAGTGAAGTTTGACAAATGTGATATTACATCACGTTATCTCCTTTTTTTTTTTTGTTTTTTCTTCCTTTTTTCCCCTTCTCCATTTTTAACCTTCAACAGATAAACTTAGAATATAGTATTTTGTAGTTGCATGAATTTATCGACTCACCCTGTTTCTTCTAATTTTTGTTATGCACTTCCCCTGCTCTAGGGCAAAGAAGAAGGTGATTCTGGCACCTAAACCCAAAGTGAAGGTAAATGCTGGAACAGTCTATACCAATATACAGGAAATAATGTTGAATATGGAACATACTAAAAAATGTCCTTCTTTTGAACCAACTGTAGTGATGAAGCTATAACACTTTTTTGAGACAACAGTTCTAACTTGAGTTAGAACTTTAGTTTCCTCTAACTTGAGGAAACTAAACTAGAGAGTTTATGGACTCTGTTTTCCTTTTACAGTATTTAAAAAAGTACTGTAAATATTATTGTTTCCAACTTTTTTTGTATTATAGATTATCAAAACACTTTTATGTATTAAGTAAGTTTAAACAACATGGAGAGGGTCCAGAGGAGGGCCACATGCATGATCCAGGGACAGCAGGGCAGACCTTACAATGAGAGGCTACGGGACCTGAACCTGTTCAGCCTTCACAAGAGAAGGCTGAGGGGGGGACCTGGTGACCATCTATAAACTCACTAGTGGGGACCAGAAGGGTTTGGGAGAGACCTTGTTTCCCCTAGCGCCCCCAGGGATAACAAGGAATAACAGCCACAAGTTGTTGGAGAGTAGGTTTAGATTAGACATCCATAAGAACTACTTCACAGTCAGGATGGCTAGGATCTGGAACCAACTTCCAAGGGAAGTGGTGCTGGCTCCTACCCTGGGGGTCTTTTAAGAGGCTTGATGCCTACTTGGCTGGGGTCATTTGAGCCCAGTTTTCCTCCTGCCCAGGCAGGGGGTCGGACTTGAAGATCTACAAGGTCCCTTCCGACCCTACTTCTATGATTATGATTTTATGATAAACAATTTTAAATCATGCCACTTCAATATGCTCAATACAAAACGTTCTGGAATATTTTGCTTGCAAAAAAACTCCAGGTTTTGACTTCTCGTTCCAATTCAGGACAAAACCAATTTAAAAAGTTTCCCCATGGACAGAAGTTCTGTTTTTGGTCAGCTCTGTAAACCTTACCACTGATCTAGATCTTTTGGAGCTATTTGGTAGCCTCACCAGAAAAGTGTAAATTAGTAGTAGTACAAAATAGTTAATGCACAAAAATATGTATATGTGTTCTCTAATTTGTATTTTATTCATAATGTGTATATTTATTATTTTTATAATAGATTAAAATCCATCTCCTGTAAATGGAGCTTGTTTTGGATCTATGACGGGGGTGTGCAGAATGCGACCCTCTAGGCCATTCTCTCCAGCCCGCAGAGCCCTTAAAAAATTTAGAAAATTTTAATATTTATTTGCCTCTGGTTGCCTGTCATGCAGCCCTCAATGTCTTGCCAAAACTCACTAAGTGGCCCTCCACCCAAAATAATTGCCCGCCCCTGATCTATGAAATGCTTTGCTTCATGGATTTGTTGTTACGTTTAGTATCAGGAAGAAAACAGAATTGAATTAACTTGATGTCAGCTTGCATAATAATCTTTTTTCATACCAAATAATTTAGTGTTAGCATCTTGTAAAAGAGCCTGTTAAATATCAGTTTGGAAAAAATGTATGTCTGGTCCAAACAGCATTTAATTTGCATATGTTGTCCTTGCAAGATATAAATGTTAGCTTTAAACTGAAACTTGGATGATATGAAAATTAAATCGGCAAAGCAACATAATTTCCAAAATGTATTGTTCAATATGGCTGTATCTGCAAATCAGATTTTCCTTAACTTTCTGGATATTGAAGACCAACTATACAACAGTTTAGAGTACAATATACTCTCCTTTATTGTTTCAAGTGGCACTATAGTACAAGGTCTTGCAACATTAGATGTACTAATCAGCTTATTCCTGGAGTATGTTCTGTATAACAGTGTGCCATGTGATGGCTTTAAAAAAAAAAAAAAAAAGATATCTCTGCAGGACAAAGGCTGATTTTTGAAGCCACCCGTTTTAAGATAGTGCATCATTTAAAGCATTTCCTTGCTGTCCAGTCTTAATGCATTTAGACACACAGGCAAAGAAAGGTGGAAAAGTCGCACTCTAGCCCTACCAAGCCCAAGAGATTGTGGAGTTAGTGTGTTAGAAGGGCATGCTATATATTAGTTTTTCTGTACATCTTTTTTTTTTTTATAAACTGTTCTTTGCATAGCCATCTTGATACTGAATCAAGATGGCATGGAAGCCAACTCCAGTGTCTTTCTATTTATTTCATGCGTATATTCACTTGTGGATCTTATGTACTTCCTATGGTAGATTTTGTTAGTGCTAAGATGATCTTTAAAAGAAGCCTAACACTAGAGTTGCACTTCATTTGCAGAGTCATGGCATTGCACTTGAGTCTTGTTGATCTGCTTTGGCAGAGGTGGTGTGACTTAATTGTTTTTCCTTTTCTAATTCCTTCCTTCCAGGACTCAAGTCCAAAGAAAGAGCAGAAAACCTGTGCATCTTCAGTGACTTCAACTTGTGCTACAACATTGAATTCCAGCACATCTGTCAGTACTCCGAACAGCTCTGTCTGTACACCAGCTCCAGAAACCATTTGCCTGGATGACTCGCTGGATGAAGACCTCTCTTTCCATCCACCCTCACTGGATTCTATTTCTGATGCTCTGGCAGTTATCAACAATGGAGCAAAGGGCTCTCCTCTTGGGTCCACTATTGACACACCAACCTCAAGACCTCGCCCTGGGCTAAGGGAAGAAAAGCTAGCAAGCATAATGAGTAAGTTGCCTCTAGCAACCTCAAAGAAAGTAGAGTCAGCTCAGACTCCACATTCATCAAGTCTTATTGCTGGTCACACAGGGCCAGTACCAAAGAAACCCCAAGATTTGGTTCACACTGGCATCTCTTCAGGCCTTATTGCTGGATCTTCAATTCAAAACCCTAAGGTTTCCTTAGAACCTTTGCCAGCCAAACTACTTCAGCAAGGACTACAGAGGTCAAGCCAGATCCAAGCTGCTTCTTCTTCACAGACCCATATTTCTTCTTCCTCCTCCAAGGCTCAAGCAGCTACTTCCACCCCCACTCAGAGGCCCAAGGATGCTGCTGTCCTAGTATCTTCTTCAGAGGCCCAAGGTGGTTCTTCCTCAACGTTACAGGTGACAAAGGTGCACCAGCATTCAGCTGTCCAACAGAAATATGTCTCTCCTCTACAAGCAACTATTAGTAAATCACAGACCAACCCAGTGGTGAAATTGAGTAGCAATCCCAAACTCTCCTGTTCATCCCCAGTCATGAAGACTCCAGATAAGCCAGTAGTATACCGGCTTCCTTTGTCTAACCCCTCATCTGGAAGCGGCTCTCAAGTATCCCACCCACTGGTTTCTCGGACAACATCCAGCACCTCTACCTCTACTAACTATTTGGCCAAGGCTATGGTGTCGCAGGTTTCTTCCCAGGGTTTCAAGCCTCCATTCACAATGGCTGCTTCTCCTAAACCTGCGGCCTCTCCCAAACCCACTTCATCCAAACCCTCTGTGACACCCAAGCCCACTGCATCACCTAAATTCTCATCTAAATCCACCTCATCCCCTAGGCCCACAACAACACCCAGTTCTTCCAGTTCAAGTGCACTAGTATCCCAGAGTAGTCACTCCAGCAACAGTCCCCTTCATAAACAGACCAGCGGAGTAAATATCAGCAGGCAGTCTCCCACAATGAACTTGTTGCCCTCTAGTCGCACCTCAGGCCTCCAATCTACAAAAAACCCTCAGGCCTCTTCAAAATTGCCCAACTCTTCTCCCTCTGGAACTGTTGGCAAAAATAACTTGAGTGGAGTCGGAATGAATGTACCTGCCAGCAGAGGCAGTAATCTTAACTCAAGTGGAGCTAGTAGGACTAGTCTGTCTGGGGGAGCAGGAAGTGGAACACAGGGTGCTACTAAACAGTTGTCAACTCCACACAGACCATCTTCTGCCTCAGGGTCTCCAGTTGTAGCAGCCACCGTGCAGGTATGTATTACTGGGGACAGTTCTTGAGTCTGATCATGAAATTTATCTGGTTTTTTTTTTTGGTTTTTTTTGTAACATCTCTTTTCACAAAAGTATTTTGAAGTATTATGCACATCTTTAACATGTGTACTGAAATTATTTCATACAGGTGAAAGAGATTTTTCCAAATGGTCATGAACACTTAAACTGGCAGGGAAGAATTTTAGCACAGCGTGTTCATTGGTCTATGGTATGGGGGAGAAGTTTTTGTTTTTCTCTAGGGCACTGAAAAAAAAAATATTTGATTTAGTGGGCCACAGACACATAATGGTATTTCCAGACATTATGTTGAAAGAGCTTGGTTCTTCCTCTACCTCTTCTGTGTTTTGATTTTCCTTTCTTGCAATGCCATTTATGTGAAAGTATCTTGTACATTTGTTGCCATGCTTCCAGGATTGACTTCCTGTTCTAAATCTATATAACTGACTTCTCAGTATTTAAGCAGAACACCTACTGAGTTGGCAAACTGTGCTTTTTTTAGTGCTTGTGGTTTGTATTTATGTATGATTGAGATAGATAGATAGAATTACTAGCTAAAGTACCCGTTCTTCGCCGAGGTTATTTTTGTAATTGCTGTGTTTATTTTCAAAGAATGTAATGCAACATATTTAATGTTTTAATATACATCTCTAATCTAAACCTTCCAAAACAACTGAATACCACCTGAGGAAGGAGAGGGAGAGGGAAAGGCTTCAGAAGGAGTATGACAGTTCACCAGCATTAAAAAATAACCCTAGAAATGAATTGATTTAAAAGGGTGGTTGAGCAAGACTTGCTTACATAAGAGGAGTCCACGTGTCTTCACGTGTACTTTGACACAAGTACTTGTGTCAAATAACATTTGAAAACAGACCTTGTTTAGACTTAATAAGAACTGTGGCACTTCTAACCAGTGAAGGCAGTCTGTTTACCCAAGTATTCTGTACTACTTTCTAGAAATAATTTGTTTGTTAAGTTAAAACAAAAAAATTCTTAATCTAGATTAATGGTGTCTCCCTTCCAAAATCTTTTGACATATATGAGCTAGAGGGAAGATGGTTATCTTTTTAATAGCATATTTTCCAGCACTTTGATCCAAAGGCTGTGTAGAGTTGTTTTAAAAAAATGAGACACATTCATGGGATACACCTTGCCTCTACTATCTCTACTGAAAGAATGCACAAGAAAGTGAGAAGGACAGAGCCTGATCATTTGATTCAAGATTAATAATGCATTTGTGCATCTAGGCCAAACTAGAATTGCATGGGACACCATAAATCTGGCACTTTTCTAACCTTCTGAGGCTTCACTTTGCACCCCAAATAATGTGGGTTTTGGATGCAGTTTTCTGGGGGTTTTTTTTCAAGAAAGTAAATTGAATTGTATTTGTTTATATCTGTAACAACCTCCTACATTGTGTATCAGTAGGTTTTGAAACCTGATATTAAAGTACCAGCCAATTGCCCATCAAGAATGATGGGGGTGGAGGGGCGAGGGGGCTGGGATGGAGTTCCGCCACCTAATGCCCCATGGCCTTGGCTCCCCCACCCTCTATCTAGTCCTCAGCACGGCTTCGAAATCATGGTGCTGCTCCCCCATGCTTAGAGAACTCTGATTAGCTGTTTCCGTCAGCCAGTCATAGTGCAGATAAAGCATTACGGACAGACTTAGGCTTTTATAATATTAGAATTGCAGCACAACTTGTAGCAACCGAGTTGTAGAACTTGCTACATTATTTGACAGAGACAGCTGTTATCTGAGTGGATTTACAAGTACTGTACACAAGGTCCCAGAGATTACAGGGGAAACTAGCCCTGTCTCTTCCCTGCAGCCTCTTCCCCACTTTTAGGATTTAGGCTGCTGCCCCTGTCAGGGTGTCGTTCTCCCTCCCCCCCCTTTGCTTCTCCAGGGCAGAGGCGTGGCCAGACACTGGCCAGCATGGCCCCCTGAGGCGAAGGAGGCAGGGAGGGGGTTTATTCCCCTCTCCCTCTGGGGAACTCTAGCCAGGGTCTGCTGGGCTGGGGCGCAGCAGCTCCTGTGAGGCGTTACTGAGCCTGCACAGGGGTGAGCAGCAAAGGTGGTGACCAGGGCTGGGAGACCCTGGCTGTGGTCCCACAGTGGAAGAGGGGAGGGAGGGGGGAATAAACCCCCTCCCTGCCCCCTTCTCCTCAAGGGACATGCTGGCCAGTGTCTGGCCATGCCCCTGCCCATGTTGCTAGAGTGGTGAAGGGATGGTGGGGGGGACCCTGACAGGCTGCTATGCCTCGGCCAGGCAGACCCAGCTAGGCAAGCCCCCTCCCTGCCCCCTTCTCTGTAGGGGGCTATGCCAGGCTGGCATTTGGCTATGCCCCCACCCTTGCTCCACTAGACAGCACAGCACAGCCCAGGGCTGTAAAATATGGTAGGATACTGGGGAGGGGCCCTCTGGTTTAACTTAAACCAGGAAGATGCATGAACTCCCTTTGCCAGGACCTTTGCAAGACAACTTTTTCCATGCTGATTCTTGATTCATCTCTTTGAGAAACCATTACAAACTCCTCTCTACAGATGCTGAGACCAGCATCCTAGCTAGATCAGCTTCTTCATTTGAAGAGGGCTGTTTTCTGTTCACGACTAGAATTGGAACCTCTTCTATACACCCTTCCTTCCTTTCAGGGGGTAGTGCTGTGGAAGCTGGACAGAACATCAACAGGAACCTGTGAGGGAAATGGAAAGGTCATTGGGGTTATTTGAAAATACTTTATCTATTTGCCCTTTCTATTACCATTACCAACAGTGGGTTAGCTGGCTCTATCTGTATTCTTCAGATCAAGATTTCTCTTGCATTAATTGGACCATCAGTTTAAAGCCAGGGGGAAATGATACTTCCACTCTGTTTGCTACTAGCAGAGGCACTGTCACATTTTTAAGCACTGCGTTTCAGGGAAGTCTTGTATAAATTACAGCACAGCAGAGAGCAACAAAGGTGATCAGAGGTTTGGGAAACATGAGTTACAAAGAGAGGAAAAACTCGATTTTGTTTTAGTTTAGAGAAAAAGAAAAGCAAGTGGGGGATTTTATTACAGTCTTCAAATACCCATGGGGTGTTTACATAGAATAATGGCCTGTCACCACTTTCAACATAGCTGCAAAGCACAGGACAAACAGTCTTGAGTCTTGGTCTTGAGTTGCAGGAGTGACAATCTGGGAAGAATTTCATGAGGGTGGTTAAACATCGGAGCAGGCTACCCAAAGAGGTTATAGGATCTCCATCCTTGGAAGTCTATGAGTAGGTTAGACGGACACTTGGCTTGGATGGTTTAGACATGGAAGATTTTGCCCTGAGCAAGAAGTTGGATAAAATGACCTCCTGAGGTCCCTTCTGACCCTACCTCTCTACAATTCTGTGCATCTTTCTGTTTATAAAATTTGGCCATGACAATTCATGAGGAACATCTCAAACAGGCAAAAAGCTGGCACACACTAGCATTTAATTGCATTAGTGTGTAAAAGGCCTGAGAAGAAATACTAGATCCCCATTAAAAGTCTGAATGGCTTTTACTGGTAACCTTCTCCTTGCTAGCTAGGACTTCTCATCTTATTCATGAAAAAGCCAAACAACAAAGCGAACCAAAGGCCACCCACTGAGAAGCCCCAAAAAGGTCCTGCCTCATCTGGAGGAAAATATGTTCTTCAGCAAACCTCCAAATGGAATTGTTGAACTGTCCATCTCTACTTGCCAAGTATGACTTCCTACAATAAGAGGAATCAAAAAGCTTTATGGCAGGTCAGCCAAACTACTCCAGGTATTTGAGTTTGACACAGCATGACTGAACAATGGCCATTGCAGTAGCTAAAACCATTACAGTGGCTCTTTCTTGCCTACAGGCATGGTGAATCCCAGATAAAGGCCAGCTCATCAAAAATCTTCCCCTTTTATTATCCTAAAAAATAAATAAATAAATTTGGAGATTGGACAAGCACCTGGCTGGGATCACATGATCCCAGGTTTGGTGACCCTTTTCTTGCCTGCCAGGGGTAGGGGGTCAGACTAGATGGCCCACTGAGGTCACTTCCGACCCTAGAACCTATGAATTTTTAAATAGTAGTACAACCAACAGTTTATACGCTCAAATAGGTTTTAGAGGGATATCTGAGACTGCAGAACCTACATGTTCTAGTCTTGAAAAGGAAATTTCCAAGACTATAACCACAGTACTGTAGACACAGAGACATAAGTTACAATATAATCAATAATTGACCATAAAGTTCTGAGGAAGAGCATGACTTTTACCACAAGTGACCCTCTCCCTTTTTTTTTCCAGCTGTCCCACAATCCAGGCTTCAGAGAAACAATCGAGGGCTTCATTTATGCCATAAATGTTGAGTCAGGCTGGAATTTCTATTTAATGCTTTCTTTCCTTTCTTTATGTAACTAATTAACCCATTTCTAGCAAGCTTAGTCTGGAATAACATCAGGTAACCCTATAGATATGGAATTTGCTACATTACTCATTTGACCTGGCAGGTGACTTGAATGGCATTTGTGTATTTTTGTTGATCACATATCCAAACATTCAGTATGAAGTGGCTATATGCCATCTTATTCTATAAGCTTTTCACTTTCTTTTTTCATTGTGTTAGCATTTCTTCTTTTGATACTTTAATTTCTGACATTATTTTTAGTTACTTACCACAGACATTTTTCTTTTCTGGTATTTCCAAAACATTCTTTGCAACTTTCACTGTGGAAAGATGATCGAGTTTCTCTGCAATGTTATTTTTATCTCCAGTTTCTAAGAAATGTTGATGATAAATTTTTAAACAGTGTATATTTTCCCCTTGGCCTTTAGTTGGGGTCCTACATATTACTGTTAGGTTCTGGAATTCTACCATTTCAGCCCTCCAAATTCTCCTATTCTAAAACAGAGTGCCATTTTCTGTGTTAAAACAGTACTTCGATCTTGTAGAATTCCCAGTCGATTGCAGAAGCTGCTGTTTGGTGCGAGTCATTGTCTTCCACCTGAGTTCACTTTCTTCCATAATATTCCCAGACTCTCCTAGTCCATCATACTTGCAGGTGCCACCGATACTTCGGTCCCATATCAGGTCGGCACCGACATAAGTAAAATTAACTGCATCGGCAATTGGGTTTTTTTGGCTCGTGTGGCCGGTTTTTTTTTTTAAATGCCCCCATGCA